TTAACTATGAATAAATCAGTGTTCTAACATGTTAATAGTATATCTAAAATATTTAACAATATTAAATAGAAAGAAATTTTAGCATGATTTATATTTTTAAACTGCCACCCTTTTTAAAAATGAGGTCACTTTAATATTTTTGTAACATGGAAAAGGTCCAAAGGAAACCATATTAATAAAATAATTTTGAATCAGTTACAGTGCAAACAATTAGCATAATGCTCATGCTCTTTTTAAATCAATGCCTGGCTCAAAAATACCAGTTACTAAGTGTGGGTGCTGATTTATAAATCTTTATGAACAGGTACCATAGGAGAGAAAAAGAAATCCTACAAAACAAGAATATTCTCAAATGTTAAACAGAATAATGGAAAGATTTAGTGAGTTTTCTTAAGGTCAGAAAACAATTGAATGACCAGACTGGAAGGAACTCAGATCTCCTCCCTTCCAGTCAACTTTGAAAATTACCAGATGCTTTTTGTACCCCTTCCATTAAAAAAAATTAGTAGCATAAAACTAGTCAAGTGTTTCTGTTCATAGTTTTGGAAACTCAATTCTTAAAAGTTCTTTTAAATACTAAAGAGCTTTTTAATTAGAGGATGAAGTTGTTTAAAATGTCTAAGTGGAAATATGTATTAAAACATCATAATTGATATTTGATACAAAATTTTGACAGACATTAAATAGGCTCAATACAGATTAGAAAGACATAAATTTCCAGACAGCTAGGTTTGAAAAGTGTAACATCTTTATACTATTTATGATCATAAATTTAACACTAGACAAAAAACAATAGTTCTCTACTATTTGGAAACCATGAATTACTCTACAAATAATGAAGGGCTCTTCTGGCTTTTAAAAAACTGTCAAAGGTTGAGATTTAGTATACCCCAGTAACATGAAATGTATCTGGAAACCTAAAGACCTCTGAGGTAAACAATTTCCAGTTAATCTCCAAAAATAAAGATTTGCATTTTTGATAAATTTTACCATGCACTGTTCTAGATATTTATTAATTTATTTATTCATTTAATCACCACATTTCTTATTACATACCTTTCATCCTCAAGGAATTGTGTGAGCTATCACAAGGGGGAAAACAAAAAACAAAAACAAAAAACCAACAAAAAAACTATGTTTCTTACCTTCAACTTCTCAGAGACCAGAGTAAGAACTATTAACTAACAGGCCCACCTTGTAGAACATCAATCCTTACTCATTTGTGGAAGTTCCCTGAGACTAGAGTGTTGATGTCCCACTTTACTAAAGCTCTTCTTAGTTTCAACTTTGAGTACATTGCAATCAGATTACTCTTCCCAACCTTACATATAACTCAGTTTCCCCCTTTTTTTTTTTTTTCTAACTACCCTTTTGTTTACCATACATTGTTATGCTGGGTTTGACTAAAATTGACCTGTGGTGGAAAAATGTACCTGGTAAATTGTAATACTATTGATAGTGCTATGGGAATAGAGATAATATGAAGAAATGAGGAACTACTTAAATTAACAAATTGGTGGCAGAGTTTCCATAAGTTGAGAAAAGTCAAATGATTTGTGAGCAATAACAATATTTAGAGGTATAGTCACAGAGCTGGCCGAACACTTAGAATCCAATTACATTATTAACACTTAGGTGAGGAATTAGACATTCTCAAAGAAGAGGCCCCATGAAGGAGTTCCAAAACAGCATATGTTCCTTGTGCCACACTTTTGGAGAAGATTATATCGCTTGTGCACTAATTTCTTATACGTAGATGTGTTGAGCATTAAAACTGTGGAACACCCAATACAATAATTCTGACATGTATATTAATAAACTTAACTACCCACTGTGATCTACTGGAGCAGGCATCGTTATTTCTTTGTTATAGTGAGTGAAATGATCCTCTAAGAGGTTAAAAAATATATTCAAAATAAAAGCTAGAGTTAAACTTAGGTCTTCACAATGAATAATTTCCATAGCAAATTTCAACTTGATCTAGTACTTTTCAAGGAAATCCTGTCTAATTTGGCATCTTATAAACAGACCCAATATAGAACTAATCATGGATTTGATATCTCACATTGCAGAATGAGTGTTCATAGAAGTATATTAAAACCACAATAAGGTAGGCAGCTTAAAATAACAACTTCCATGTGCTATACTTAGGCCAAAATCAAGCTCTAAGTAATCATTAAGTCTTCAGAAGTTAGACATATCTCAATGGTACCAAAATGAAGACTACTGATAAAAGTTTAAACTTACAATTCTATATTCCTTTGAGAATACTTCTTTAAAATGTGCTTTTCTTTTACTTATAATTAAACTTTTTGGATTAAAATTTTTAATGTGTTTTTTCCAATAATGTAAAGACAATTGATCTAAAATTATGTGGTTATCTCATATCTATTTCTTTATAAATAAACTGCTTTAAGTAATATGTTTTTAAGTAATTTCGATTTTTTACAAAAAAGAATTATCTTGAAAGTATAAGTATTACTAAATACTTCATACTTGTCTATGTATTATCTTGTGTTTTCTTGATACAAGAATATGAATAAACCTTTACTTTTTATGACACACATGCAAAAGGAAAGTTTGGGAAATATTTTTTTCAAAAAATTAAATTTTACCTCACTTAGCTAATTGTTAAGCAATGTTAGAGAAAAATAATATCTTTTTTAATTGACTACTTCTATTAGCTTTGGGATAATAATAAAGAGTAAGCATGTGTGGCTGATTTGTAAACTATTTTAAGTCAATGATTTTTAAAACAGGTTTTTTCAGTTTATAAATTGTCTCAGGAAATAATATATTCCTATATTTGTGACTTTTGAATAATGAGTCTGTTCAATGACTTCATATGATGAGTGTTCAATGACTTTGGAAAAACTGGCTTTACATAAATGGAGTCAGGCCATTAGAACACCTTGAGCTTTATATTATAAAACTGGGCTCATTACATGTACATTTTTTTTTCTTCAAAGTGACTCTACATCCTAGCTTTCCTATTTTTGTGAATGGTTTCCACCTTCCTCAGCTCACACAACTAGAAAACCTCTACACTCTGTTCGTCTCAAAAATATTCCTCAACCTTAGCAAGTCAACCTGACATCAATTTGTCTTTAATCCTTTCTGTCATCTGCCTTTATCTCCCAATCCAAATACTCCTACCCTTGTTCAGGCATTTCTAGTCTATTTCCTGCACTATTCTGGCTTCCCTGCCTTTGATGTCTCCTTAACATCCCTCATTCAGACTGCTGCTACAGTTTTTTCACTGAATCACCGTCTGGTTAAAAAAAAGGGGGAGGGGGGAGGATTAGTAAAAGAAAACCAATTGTCAACAGAATAAATCCAAATTTTCTTTTTGTGGCATTTATGGCATTTAAATCACCTTTTCACACTATGAAAAGCAAGAACTGTAACTCCTCATTTTTGCAACACTCTCCTTAAAGGTGCTCTATAGAAAGAATATAGTAAGGTGACTGAGAGCACTGACTTTGGAGCAAAATAGCCTGAGTTCAAATTAAAGCAGTCGCTTAGACTAACTGTGTGACTCTGGGCAAGTCACAGGATACCTCTGTTCTTCATTTCTTTCATCTGTTGTGGTAGGTACCACTCTCAGGAGCTTTTTGCAGGAATTAAATTAGGCTAGAAAAAATGCAGTGGAGAGCCAGGAAAATACATCTATAGGTAAATATCTATTTCATTGTGACTTCTGTCATCGTGACTAGCTTTAGTTGTTGCCTTATTAGTTTATAATGTTCTTGGAGTTCCAGGGTCCTGTCTTGTTCATCTTTGTAAGGGAATACCCTACACAAAGTAGATTCTCAGTAGATGTTTGTTAAACAGAATGTAAATGACAAAGGTGTGCCAAACTGTTTAAAGGTAAAATGATTTATGTTGATGGCACAGTCATTTATTTTCTTTAAATCAAGTTTATTGAGGTATAATTTACATACAATAAATGCACCAATTTTAAGAGGAGAGTTCAATAACTTCTGATAAATGCATGCATTCTTGTAACCTCAGTTCCAGTCAAGATGTAGACTATTCCCATTTACCTAAAATTTTCCTTTGTGCCTCTCTGCATTCATTCTCCACTTCCCACCCCAACCTGGGGCAAACACTGATGTGTTTTTTGTCATTATAGATTAACATTATCTACCAGACATTTTTAATTTTTAGCTAGAATTGTTTCTGTTTCAACCAGAATCATCAATTTTTATATAATCACCTCATGTATATTAACATGCAAAAGATAAACTATACATGATGAACCAGATGTTCTGAGAGTGGGTGTTGAGGGTATGAGTAAATTTTAATTAAAAATGGAAAACATCATTTCGTACTTCCATAGCCATTTAATTCTTGAAACGGCTTTCCCCGCCTGCCCCCCCGCCCTCAGTAGTTTTAAGCATAACCTAAATGAGGTTGAAGAATATCCTTATTTTACACTGTGGAATCCTGAGCTCCAAGAAGGGGAGGACTGAATATTGTCAATGAATGCCCCATTGTTTGGAGCCAGGGCTCCTACCTACTTCTTGGCCTATAGTTCTTTATGTGAATTTATTGGTGAATAAAAGAACGCAATGTCCAGGAATTTAGACCATAAGAAGGACCCCTAAGACTATGGATGCCCTCTCAGGAGGGACACTGCAAGGGTCTCTGAAGCGCTTTGGCTACTGAACACAGGCCTTAAGGATGGCACTGTGGTCACTGCACCTGGAACCAAAATGATCCCGCAAAGGGTCTGCAAAGTGCTCGAAGTTGGTAGCCAAGAGGCAGGGAATGAAGTCAGGGTGTTGTGGGGGTAGGGGCGGGGGGCCGGACGTGGCCAGCTGACTCAGGGCTCGTCACATACTATCACACAAAAGAGGCCGGAAAGTGTCCGGAGGAAGCCAGCGCGTCACCGGGGACGGAGCCGGGACCCTGCCGCGCCCGCTCAGCCGCGTCTCGTTTACACCGCCACACACCCAGTCGCGCTCCCGCCACCGCTACCACCGCGGCCGCCGCCAATGAAACTCCTCCCGCTCCTAGGTGAGTGCCCAGTGCCCCTAGCCACCGAGGTTGCCTATCACTTGTAGAGAATAGGATTTTTCCAAGGTGGAACTCACGTGCCAAGTGCATATGGCCAAGTCTCCAAGGAGAATTGACGCAGAACTTCTCAGGATGTTTTTCTCTTCGGCCTTTCAACTCTGGAGTTTCATATTCAGGGCCCAGGGACAAAGTAGCCTTTTTTTTCCTGC